TAAGCTCTGCAAGGGCAAAGATTTGCGTGTTTTTTGTCACAATACCTTCTAAACATCTAGACGAGGCTCAGGAGCCATAAAATTAATACTTATTGAACGGATAAATTAGATTCTGTGTGTGAGAGCTTCGGTGAAGTTTCTCTCTATGGCGAGTGACTGACCTGTCTCTCTGGGCATAGGTGCTCTGGAACCCAACTTAGCTCCTTAGAAAACTATTAAGCTCCTAGTTTGAGGACAGTGTTTTTTAGAATTCCTCCTGATCATTAGTTTCACCCTTTATGTTTAATTTAATACCTGATTATTTTGCCCCAATCTTCTGTACCTTTGATGACTGTATTATTCATTATGGGTAGTTACAGAATTTTCATAATTAATCTTTAATTGCAATACTTGAATAGCATTTCACATGAAAAATGATTTACAAATTAAACCCACGTCTCCCCTTGGGTAATTATCAGAGGTCTGACTAATGTGTGTGAGGCCCTCACGTGGCAGGGGGCTCTCTTCAATGACAATGTGTTGATTTTCTAATTAACGAAGGTTAAGTAGCATTTTTGCTTGCAGACCTACAATTTAAACTTATGACATTTGTCACCAAGACAGATTTCTATAGAGCACACAACTTGAACTCAAATAATTATCACTGGTTCTAGTGCATTAGCATCCTTTGCATAATATTTAATGACCATTTTCAGGACAAAAGATTTTTCTTCATATTGACTAGGTCAGTAAAAGTACTTTCCAACTCACTGACCCATTTCATAAGTCAGGGACCATCTAAAAAAAGAATGTAAGTTATTTGGTTTTCCTTTATAGAGATGGAAATGGCATTCTGCCTTCTTTATAAATTAAGAAAGTAGTATAAAACTTTATTTAATAAACACAACAAATACAAATTAGACTATAGCCATATGTTATGGTCAATTAAGGAAAGAAGGGGGGAAGGTCAGGCAGCAGTGCAAAGAGGGGAAAGGAAGCAAAAAGAAATTTAGGGGAAATTGAGAGTAATTTGCTGAAATGTAGAGAGGGAGACACACAAGCCTACAGGGAGAGGTTGTACATCGTGGACCAGAGTAATTCAGAGCTGGAAGGACCGGAGACATCCAGTGCAGCCTCCTTTATGGAGAGGAAAGACTGACGCTGAGAGAGGGATGCCACGATTTGATTGAAGCCACAGAGCTAACCCAAGACGGTCAGTGGTCAATAGGAAGAGAGAGAGACATGCAAACACAAGGGCAGGAAGAAAGACTGGCGGGTGTAAGAACTCAGAAAGAACAGGTCCCGAATGAATCAAAGAGGCTAAATCCTCTTACTGAATGAAGTTTGTTTATGTACATAATGAAGCATATACACATATATCTAAATATTTATTTTGATACAATTAAACTATGACTTAATCTATATGTACTTTCTCTGCCAACTGAACCTTTCTAAATCTCCATTTTTATCAGATTGTCATTTAGAGTCTTTTAACAAATCTCTTTAAACTCTCAACCATTGTTGACACCCTTAAATTTGAATTATTTCAAAATTAATATACATCCCAGATAGATTAAAGAATGAAATATTAAAAGAAGTAAAATCATAAAACTTCTAGAAGAAAATATAGTTGAAAAATTATGTTATTTTGGATTAGAAAAAGTAATTATAAGCCTAGTATCAAAGGCAGAAATCATAAAAATAAGACAGATAGATAGATATGACTACATAAACATCAAAATCTTTCATAGGGAAAAAGAAACATTATGTACAGGTTAACAGATGCAAACTGAAAGGATGTAGTTGCCAAATTTGTAACAAAAAATTAAAGCCCCAAATATTGTTATCAACCAATAAGAAATGTATCTTCTCCTGTATGTAGTATTAGTCACTCAGCCATGTCTGATTCTTTGCGACCCCGTGGACTGTAGCCTACCAGGCTCCGCTGTCCATAGGATTCTCCAGGCAAGAATACTGGAGTGGATTGCTATTCCCTTCTCCATTTCCCCCCAAAAAACAAAGATCATGAAGAAACCAAAAAATAGAAATGAGAAAAAAAATTATTCAACTCACAGTATGGAAGCAATGCAAATTAAAAGAATGAACTCTTTCCCCGCCCTCCAGCCTATAAATTCAAAAAGATTCTGCCTAGTATTAGAATTGTTGTGGGGAAGACAGGAGTCTGATACCCTACTGGTAAAATATAATACAAATTGATAAAGTCTTCTAAAAGGCAAATACATAGTAAATGACTTTAAAATGTATATTCCCTGTACCCAGCAATTACACTTCTGAGAATTCTAAGGAAAAACTGGAAAGCATGTAAAGGTTTTTACAAGGCTGTTTATTACAGTATCATATACGGTGGAAATTGGAATAAGCTGCTTAAAGCCCAAAGTTAGGGGAATGACAAAATAACTTATAGTGTTTTGCAGGATGGGCTGCTGTGCAGATGTTAAACAAGATGTTCTATTTGAATATTTATTGCTGGGGAAGTGTTTTATGATATGTTAAATGAAAAAAGCAAATTTCAAAGCAATGCGCATACCGCTTTTTCCTTTGTTTTATTTTTTTCACATAGGTATGTTCATAGACAAAAGTGGGAAAAGCCATTTGCTAAGAATGAAACTAATTCTATCTGAGTAGCATTACAGATTCTCTTTTTCATTTTGCTTATCAGTGACTTTATGGTTTTCACAATGAAAAACTATTATATTTGTAACCAGGGGAAAGGAGAGGCAGACATCTAAAAATACCAATTTAAAAATTTCAGCATATTTTGGCAGGATATAATTGTCTTAATTGAGTAGTGATGAAAATTTAAATGATGAGACATTTATTGAACAAAAGGCCCTTTGGAAAAATCCTTATTGCAAGAACAAAAGCCATAGCTGATAAAATGATAGATGCCAAATGGAAATTTTAGCACACAAATGGCGACTCATGGATTGAAATTCTTCCATATCATAGCAAAGGCCCAAATTCTCCGCAACCCAGAGGTGTGCAGAGGTGTGGATGAGCAGATTGCAAAATGGGAAATCCTTTAAAGTGGTTGTTTTTAGTAACTTCTTTTGCCATCTACTCTCCCACAGCTTTGATCAAAATGGGCATTGGACTCCCTTCAATTAATCCTCTTCTATTTAAATATTTTATTAAAAGGAATAATCCCTGGAAAATCATCGCTCAAATTTCAGTACTACCCAATGAGAGAACTGCCAGGCTTGGGTTTACAAAGATAGTAGCACAAGTCATTTGCTGTTTCATGGCTAAGGATACACAGGCATAAACAAAGGCTAATCCATCTCTGCAACTAAAGCCTCTGATCCACCAGCCCTGTCTGATGAGTCATGTAATCACACACTTTTTCTCAAGATACTGGAATAAGTGATCAGAATCCATCTCCAGTGTGCAACCTTACCCAAAGTCTGCCAGTCCTATTGACCATGCCATCTTTAAAGACATCCAAATCTACACCTCAGAAACATGTATGTCTGTGGCCCCCAGGCCCTGAAGTTCTTCTGTATTAGACGATCATCACAGAACAGAGTCTAAGACCACAAGCTCAAGAATAAGACAGAGCTGACAGTGCCCTGGGACTGCAGTTATGAGTCCTTAAGTACAGGACTTCATGTCTCTAAATCTCAGTTTTGTTATCCAGATAATTAGGGCAAGATAACAATGTATGGATGTGAGAGTTGGACTATAAAGAAAGCTGAGCGCTGTCTAATTGATGCTTTTGAACTGTGGTGTTGGAGAAGACTCTTGAGAGTCCCTTGGACTGCAAGGAGATCCAACCAGTCCATCCTAAAGGAGATCAGTTCTGGGTGTTCATTGGAAGGACTGATGGTGAAGCTGAAACTCCAATACTTTGGCCACATGATGTGAAGAGCTGACTTGTTTGAAAAGACCCTGATGCTGAGAAAGATTGAGGGCAGGAGGAAAAGGGGACGACAGAGGATGAGATGGTTGGATGGTATCACCGACTCAAAGGACATGGGTTTGGGTGGACTCCAGGAGTTGGTGATGGACAGGGAGGCCTGGCTTGCTGTGGTTCATGGGGTCGCAAAGAGTTGGACACGACTGAGCGACTTCACTTTACTTTACTTTATCTATCATTGTATTTAATTTCCAGAAGAGCTGTTAGTCTAAAACCCAGGCACATTTATAAATTTGAGTTCCTCTTTTTTTGTACCAGCTGCTTAAAAAATCATAGCAAAGGTTATTATAGACACAATCCACTTGTGATACATTAACAATCCTCTAATGAATTCTGCTATGAAATTTGTTAAGAATATTTTAATATTTTCATGCTCATAAACCTCTAACTCCATAACTTACTCAGAAAATCACAGTGAACTTGCTTTTTGTGTTATGTGACTTGAAATAGCATTTAAACAAAGGCAGTAAAATCTAAACTGACCTGGTAATAAATGTGGTATAGCTGACTTCTGTGTGAAATCATCAATTCCAATTTCCAACAACCCCAGACAAGAAGCTCTGGGAATCCTTAACATGAATTTCAAAGCAAAGCTTTTCTTGAGACAAGAAGAACCAGGACTTACAACCACATTCCAAATGGATTTACTTCTTCTGACTAATTGACTTGTTAACTATGCTAATATATTCATGTCCCTCTGCCTTTTTATATCTCTTCAGTAGATAATGCTGTGGAATGTAACACTGTGAGATTAAAAACCAAAGAACTTAGAGATTCCTATAAACTTCTCTCCTAAGGAAACCAGATTAGACTTCCAAAACAGCGTATAAAATTTGTGTGTGTCTCCAAGCATTTTAGTTCTGTAGCAAATTTATTGCTTCTCCCAAGACAGCCTCTTTTCACCGTTTTAGCCTAAGGGGGAAAGTTGCAAGCTCCTGTATTAGACAGGAGCAACTTGACCGTAAGAGTGCCTGCAGCACTTGGCAGTCTCATCTCCTGCCACAGCGGTCCGAGGCATGAGGAATGAAATAGAAGCCGTGGCAGAGGGGATTCTGTCTGAGCTCCATGGCTTCTGTCTTCCCAGGTGGTGCTGGAGGCCAGCAAGGCTTCCTGGGCTGCATCCGCTCCCTAAGGATGAATGGGGTGACACTGGACTTGGAAGAGAGAGCCAAGGTCACATCTGGTTTCAAATCCGGGTGCTCAGGCCACTGCACCAGCTACGGGGCCAACTGTGAGAATGGCGGCAAGTGCATAGAGAAGTACCACGGCTATTCCTGCGATTGCTCCAACACAGCCTATGACGGAACATTTTGCAACAAAGGTAGGTCAGAACCAGTTTCCAGAGCCGTGTTTAGGTATCTTTGAAGCCCAGATCATCGGTTGAATTGCTCTTCAGCTGGCATAAGGGTTCTTCACTCCAAGGGTAAATTGTTTTGGAATTCTCCCATCATAAGTAGGAAGTCCCCTAAAACAATCCCTCATCTTTGTTGTTCATTAAGAAGAGAAAAGCTTTAAGTGTGGTGCAGAGTTTCCCCCTAAATTCAAGCAAACTTTGTAGTGACTACAACATTACAGAGCAAATAGCCATGTCATGCCTTAAGGATGAGGAATAAAGTAAGTACCATTGAAAGGGGTCAGTGATGGGCCTGACCCTCTCGCTTGCTTGGACCCATACATCATGCAATGACTCGATCTGTGCTGCCCAGTGGTCTTCATGTCCACTACTCCCCCAGCTGCTAAGAGAGTGAATTCAAGTTGGACTCACAAGAAAGCTCCTCTGTTCAATTCTTGTCACTATCATTTTTTATCACTCTTCTATAGGACACCTCAGTGGCGGGTTCTCAGCCCCCACAAAAGTGCAGGAATACTGAGATACTACATCTAATAATGCAGTAACATCTAACAATGTTACTGCCTTATTTCAGTCTTGAATGAGTAACCCCTAATAAACTCTGCAAAGCCAGTCAGCTGACTCCAAGAACCTGGTGTATATGGCTGCTATCATTCAGGATGCACCTGGTGATCTTGTGTAACCAGAAGAAATTCACTCAACTGACCTGTGGCTTCTTTCCCACTTGTAAACAAGAGAGCTGGGAAAGGCAGAGCTGACCCTCTTGTCAAGCTACAATTGAAATGCACGTAACTCACTCTTCTCTTTCTAAATGAGTGTATAGTGTTTGGGTAAAGTTTTCTGTAAATGGTTGGTGCATCTCTTTATAAGAAGCTTTACCTAAGTAGCCTATTCACACTCTCATGAATACATGGAGGGTTGTTTGTGCTGGCATTATTCACACGAGACGCCACACAGAAGGAGGAATTGTTCCCTAACATTCTCTGTACAGCCAGGCCACTCTCTGACAGTGCTGTCATGTAAGCATATAAATTAGGTCAGACGGGGCTTGAAGGATTAGTGTGAGACAGCAACAAAGGTGGAAAGGAACACCATTGCTGAATAATCCACAGCATATTAGCCCTGCTGTTACAGAGCATTCTCCCACTTGCAACAACATGGTTCCATGATTTTCTGGTGTCACACAATGGGAAGGGTTTGCAGAACACATTAATTTGGCACTTGTAGAAATGACAGTCTTGCAATTACCATTCATTGTGCTTGATGCTAATTTAATGTAGTCATTCCCTTGCCAAAGTGGGTCTGAATGCAATCAAGTGAGCGCTAACGTCTGAGAGATTCCACTGCATAAGTGCCAATTTAAAGAAAATCATGAGCCCCTTATTTTTGGAGAGTTAGGTTAAGTACGGTAGCTCACACGCAACCTCTGGGGGTTAATAGGCAATATTCACAAGCAGAAAGACGAGAGTATATACTTTTCTGCTTTGCCAATGCTTGAGATGGAGTCAAAGAAAGCCTGTGAGTTCCCAATGACGTTATTTCAAAGGGTTTACATAAAAGATCCCTAAATATTCTCTTAATACCTGTTTAGCAGGGTGAGTTTACATTTGACTCAGTTAATGGCTTCACCAAAAAAGATTAAAAACAGCACACTGTATTTGGAAAGTGTTTGTGGGCGTCCTTCTGGGTCAAGACAAGTATTCTCTTGACCCGGGGAGGATGAAGATGGTGCTGGTTGAGAGGAATCAGAAAAGCTTCACCTGCACTAAGGCAGGCTCTTTCCCAGATGGGGTCTTCCAGCCGAGGCCTGAGACCAGGTGGTGCCTCTGGTCTGGGTCTCACCTCCCAGGGCATCAGCTCCTGTGACCACACCTTCCAGGGGTCTACAGACACATGACTCAGCCTCCAGAGAGAGCAACCACAGTCATTCTGCCTAAGAGTGAGCTCGTGAAAGTCCTTTGCAGGCAGGCTTCCTCAGGCTTCCCTGATAGCTCAGCTGGTAAAGAATCTGCCTGCAGTGCAGGAGACCCCAGTTCGATTCCTGGGTCGGGAAGATCCCCTGGAGAAGGGAAAGGCTACCCACTCCAGTATTCTGGCCGAGAGAATTCCATGGGCTCGTCCGCGGGGTCACAAAGACTGAGCAACTTTCACTTCACTTCACTTCCTCCGCTAGAGTAGTTCTGTACTTGAGTATGTGGATAGAGGTCCACAGTATTTTGCTGAGTTAATGAAATGGGTCTCAACACATCACACACAAAATGATTAAATGTGTATGCAAAATCTAACACACACACACACACACAAGGAAAGCAACTGTAAGGAAACATATCAAAATATTGTCAGTCGCTCAGTCATGTCCAACTCTTGCCAATCCCATGGACTGTAACTAACCAGGCTCCTCTCTCTGTGGGATTCTTCAGGCAAGAATAGTGGAGCAGGTTACCATTTCCTTCTTCAGGGGACCTTACCAACCCAGGAATCAAACCTGGGTCTCCTGCATTGCAGAAAGATTCTTTACCATCTGAGCCACCAGGAAGGCCCATCAAAGTATTAACTGTCATTATTCTCGGGAGAGGGTGAAAACACAAATATTTATTTTCTCTTATCTTTTTGCTGTATTTTCTAATGTTTATACAATGATGAATTACCCCTGTTTTTCCTCACTTTTGCCTCTTTGGGGGAAGAACTAAGTTTTAAGAAGCAGAGCCCTTACCCCATGCATTCAAGACTCAACTACCTATGGTTAGAAAATATCTAATTATTAACCAAAAATCATGATACCATGTAATCACAATATCTGGAATGGAGGAGCATCTCAGGTGAAAACTGCACATAATTAAATTACCTTTGAAAAATCCTTCTCTCCACACATTTAACAGAGCCTGTTTTTTCACAAACCTTCAAAGCAATCACCTTTCAGATAGGCCCTGAAGGAAGGTGTGCCTTCTTGGTGCCAAGTTGTATGAAAATAAAAAACACTTGTATCAGCCAGGTGAGGGGGCTGTTCAGGGTCTCTAGCAGGTCCCTCCTCATGATGCTCTTTGCTTTGCAGGTAATGCATTGACAGTCACTGTCCCACCAGCGCAGTTTCTCTCTTCTCTGAACTCTTATCATAAACGTCTCCTAGAACCTTTTTTTTCCCCAAATGATTCTTTAAAGATTTGATCATCACTTAAGGTGTCAGCTCTCCCTAGGAAAAGTCATTAAATAGAAAAGCTGACTGCGGAGAAGTTTGGGTTTTGGAGAGAGCATGAGTGGAAAGTGAAAGTCTCTCAGTTGTGTCCGACTCTTTGTGACCCCATGGACTATACAGTCCGTGGAATTCTCCAGGCCAGAATACTAGAGTGGGTAGCCTTTCCCTTCTCCAGGGGATCTTCCCAACCTGGGGATTGAATCTAGGTCTCCTGCATTTCAGGTGGATTCTTTACCAGCTGAGCCACAAGGAAAACCCAGAGAGCATGAGGGCCTCCCAGAAACTCTGTAACTACACCTCAGAGCCAGTCATCTCGTCTCTACAGATAACTGTGCAATGTCCCCTCTTCTTAGAATGCCCAGCCAATAGCCACCACTTCACTCAGCGCAGACAGCACCATCCCATGGACGGTTCCTTGGCAGCCTGTTAGCTGAGACGGTAGATGCCTCTGGGAGCAGGGCAAACCCAGCTTACATGGAAGGCTTGGCTGTGGGTCTGTCATACCCAGCATCAGTAGGGACCCCCACTGGGGACCCCTGGACATGCCTGGTTGACTTTTCTAAACAGACCTATTCCTTCTTGGACAGTCAAACCTCAAAACACATTTATGACTATTAGCCTCATTTTTATTTCTAACCAGAAATTAACAACGTGGTTAGAAGCAAACTCTCTCTTTGTCCTCTCTCTGTTTTCAAGCAAGAGGGAAAGTAACAGACCTATTGCTGCCACAGCAATTTCTGTGTTAAGTGTTTGTAGCTGAATACAATCACGGATTGAATACCATCCCCCTCTGCCAAGCTCATGTCCACCCGGAACCTCAGAATGTGACCTTGTTTGGAAATAGGCTCTTTACAGATGTAATTAATATGAGGTCATCCTGGACTAGGGTGGGCCAGGAACACATGGGGCCCCCATAAGCTCAGGAAAGCAAGGGAAGACCCTCCCCTGGAAACTTCAGAAGATGTGTGGCCCTGATAACACCTTGCTTTTTACTTCAAGCCACTATAACTGCGAGAGAATAAATTTCTGTTGTTTCAGGCCACCCAGGGTGTGAGCCATTGTTAGGTCAGTCATAGGACATCAACAGAAGTGCATATAAAAACCTTCAGTGCTTCTTAATTCCAGTATTTAACCATGATAACAGCTGACATTTATTGAGAACTTGCTATGTGCCAGGCAGTGTGCCAAGGTGTTTAATTATGTTAACATCACCTAATACTCATGACAGCCCCATGTTGGTACTATAATGATTTTCCCCATTTTACAGAGAAGGAAATTTAGGCACAAGAGGGTATTAGTCACTTGCCTGAGGTTCACATACCAGTAAGTAGCAGGACTACGATTTATGTGCAGGCAGTTTGACTCAAAGCCCCTGCTCTTCACCATGACTGTGTGTTACTGCTTCTCACCAGGGCACGGTCCTTCATGTTGTTTAGTCGCTCAGTCTTGTCTGACTCTGAGACCCCGTGGACTGTAGCCTCCAGACTTCTCTGTCCATGACATTCTCCAGGCAAGAATACTGGAGAGGGTTGCCATTTCCTTCTCCAGGGGGTCTTCCAGCCCAGGGAACGAACCCCTGAATGCAGGTGGATTCTTTACCACTGAGACACCTGGGAGGCCTGATCTGATCCTTCATGTAGCTTCATGCAAAACTGAAAAGAGAACGCCTGGTGTTAAAGCTTTTCAGTTATGGTGATTCGGTTAAAAAAAAAAAAACCAGCACATTCTTGGATGCAAATTTTATCATAAGAAGAAACAGAATACAAGATCTGACCAC